GACAAGGAACTAGTTTACAAACAAAATCTCTTTCTTCGACTAAAAACACGTGCTAGAAGCACACACAATAAAACTGTACAGAACAAAAGACCGGCTGGCGCAGGGCCCCAAAATAATAATAACAATAATAATAATGAATACATGTACTGTGTGTGTATGTATGTACATAATGTAAACATAACACAGCACTCAGTGACAAATAAAGTAAGTATAAGCTTATAATGAAAACAAGTCTATGAAGTTAATTTCCAACCTGGGACATGCCCAGGCAACCAGCATTAAAATGATAAGGTTAAATTTAAAGTTTGAGAGAGAAGGCCAGTGTAGGCGGGTGTGCAGGGGTGTGTGATCGGCCCTCGTCTAATCTGTAACAGACTAGTCTAGATCTAGTCTATTTTTTCAGTAGTATTGCCCCAGACAAGTGTTGACTGGCCTTAAGTCGCCGCGGCTCCTGCTCCTAACTCCTGGTTTTATCTCTCTAACTCCTGCTCCAGCTCCTGCTCCTGGTTTTATCGGGTCCCAATTTTTCTAGATATTTAAAAGAGACTGAGAGAGTTTGGTTGCTCGTGCTTTCCCCAGTGCCGCCTGAAAAATTCTCCAAGCGGAGGCTAAATCACAAAGTTTGAGAAACTGTAACTCACAAACAACGAAGTTAGGACAAAATCGTTCTTTTTGTTTTTCGTTAGATGGGATTTTCTACCTCTGAAGCAAATCTCGGCCCTGTAGAGTGAAACACGAGCTCTCACCTGGAGAGAGGTCCCCTGGTTTAGCAGTTCACAGCTTTTGGTGCCACGGGATGCTACAAGAGCATAATTAGATGAAAGAAAGCAACTTTATCTGTTGCTAGAAGAAGAAATAGAGCTCTAGACTGCTCAAACAAAAAGATAATTTTTTTTACAAATCAATTAAATTGTGTGGACAGAATGACAGAATGACAACCCAACTGCTTAGTACCCGCCTACGCGAGTCCAATACCGTACAGCAGGAAATATTTGCGGGGAATTAAATTTTGCGAGTTTGCGATTCCATTTAAAGCGCAAAATTTAAATCCGCAAAATAATTAAATTCATGCATGACCACAGTAGATAATGCTACAATAACTGTCAAAATCGCAAATATTTAATCCGCAAACCAGGTTATTTTTAAGGATTCGCAAAATTTTTCTCCGCAAAATTAACCAGCTGTACGGTAACTGGTATGCTAAACGAACGAATATTTTAACTATTATTGCCGAATGATTATAAACTTATCAAAATAATCCCAAACAGGGCTTCTTAGAGATTGAGAAACACTTCCATGGCTATGGCATCAGTATTTAGTAAGTTGAAGAAAATGACTAAGAAAGCCTCGAAGAAAGCAGCTGTGTAGCCAGTAGTTACTAATTATTGCAAATCAGGGGCGGATCTAGGATTTAATTTTTGGGGGGGGCAATTGTGAGATGGGAGGGGTAATTAGGGGGTGTGGTCAACTATACTTGTGCAAAACTTTTTGGGAAGTAAAAATTATGAAGACTAAGCCTGCTAAAATAAGCTAATTTGTGGTTTAAAGATTGTTTACATAGTCCAGTACTGCAGCTGCTTCACAGTTTACATAGGTAAACCAAAGTTTATATTACTCCAGAAAATTTTTGGGGGGGCATTGCCCCCCCCCCCTGGCACCCCCCCTAGATCCGCCACTGTTGCAAATTGCAATAACCATTAATAATTTTATTCGAATAGCAAAAAAACTATTCGAATATTGCTATAAAAATTATAAACGAAAGAATATTCGAATATCTCGCTATTTGTTTCAGCACTAATAGCAGGTAAGTGAGGCATTTTCTTCGTGCCTCCATTGACTTCTATGACAAACTTGCCAACCAAAATGGCAGCCAATTATGACGTGTGGGCGGATGCTGTATATAAAATTAATGAGATTCATATCTTTTCCAATTCTCAGTTCCAGTGGTCTATATGACTAGTTATGTTTCAGATGTACATGTAATTGCAACATACAATATAGTATTTAATAAGTTTTACTGATACCAATCAAACTATTTATAACAATTGAAATGTCACAGGTATCTACAGTAATATAATATAAATAAATGTCACAGCTAGGTAATTCAACCATGCCTTGACTAAAAACATGTTAGCATGTTATTTTAGTCATAACTTTTAATTGTAGTCTTTAACCAATATTTTGAATTTGTTTTTTAGGTTGTGAAAGAGCAAGCAGTTAAAGGCAAGAAATTTAAGAAGCCAGTAAGGATTTACACATAGATCAGGGTTTCCCACAGGATTTTAGAATAACGCTCATGTACATGTACCTCCTCATTAGGGATTTTCTTGATTATATCTGAATAATAAGTCTATTTAACTTTTTTGTTATCATATTTAGAAGAAAAGACCAAAGAGGTTGCATGTAGTACAGCCTTCAAATAAGGCTAGCAAGAAACAAGCAACTGAAGTGGATACCTCAAGCAGTAGCTCTGATTATAAAGACATGGAGATTGTTAAGATTGGAAAGAAAGCACCTCCAGCCAAGGTAAAGTTTATTAAATCCAAATGTAGAGCTTCTTCATCAATTAAGGTGGGTGGACATTTTTGGTTCAACTCTAGTGCCTTGCATGCATGCCTCAGAAAGTCAACCAATGCTTTTGCTTAAAATTGACAGTATGCTGGCCTATACAGTCATATTGTAAATCTGCTTTTTTTCTTTACTGCTTTTATTTAATATTGTTATTGCCTTATCATGTATAGATGTAATGGCATTTTTAACTTGCATGTCTAAACCACTTCTGAAAAACATTGTGTTACATTACTTTATTAATTCTGTCTTAAACAGAAGAAGGATGACAGCAGTAGTAGTAGTGATAAAACTGATATTGAAGATACAACTCCTTCTAAACTGGTTGCTAAACCTACTAACGATGCTAAAAAATGTGATTTATCTGATAACTCCTCTTCTGATGATGACAGTGTAAGAGATTTAAAATTACATTCTACATGTAAATAATTCAAAGTTGCTCTAATGCTAACGCTGCTGTTCAACTCGAAAGCAATGTTGATAATGTTGTCAACTCTGTTAACAGCTCAATCGATTCCGACACATTAGATCAACTAACCACAAACTTGCTTTCAACAAAGTTGAATGGTTGATGATGTGCTCTTTTAGTATTATGTGTATTTTTAGGAAGAGACAAAGGAACCAGCTAAAGCCAGTACCAAAAGGAAGCAAGAGGAATCAGAGAGTGATGATGACTGCAGTGATGAGAGTGAAACTCATAATGTGCCACTGACCAAGAAAATGAAGAAAGGTATGGACTATTATTATTATTTTTATTATCATTATTATTCTCATCATCATCATTATTGTAATTGTGACCTTGAGGCAAAGGCCCCATGCAGGTCAGCTTTTGTTAAAGTTTTTACCAATGTGCAATGTAAATGTATAGCTACTTGTTAGTTTATACTGTTTTTTCCATTGCTGAACATGTATGTGCATGGCTAAAAATAGTCAAAAAGTTTAGCCATGCTCATCTTTTTGTGTCCTTTAAATTATATCTTGTCCCATACCTTCTTTCATGCTAATAATCCCTGTTTTGGTGGCCCACGTGGTTGTAATTTTGTTTATATGCCTATGCGGTCACCGTGCATGGGCAGCAATAATTGCATTGAGTGTTCTCTAAGTGCTTGCTTCGATTACTTTTCTCCTTTTCTACAACTGTGCTCTAGTTGTATGATATATCAAAATACTGGCTCTTTTAAGCAAAAAACAATAGAAAAAACCACATGTAGAATAAGAAAGTTGTTTAAATTATAAGTTGACAAAGTCAGTGTGTCAGATTGTGGTATAATTTGTTTTTGAAGTAAGGCAGTTCCAATAAAATTACTTGGTTTATGGATCCGACCGGCTCCAATTTTTGGAAAATCAAAATAAATTTAAATTTTCTAATGCGCATGCACAGTACCATGTGATGGGTGTGGCTAGTTTCAAAATGGCACTAAATGTATCTGTTACTGTTAAAAGAGCAAGCTCCTCTATCTTCCTTTCACTGTATGTCAAACCTCTGTGGCATCTACTTTTTGGGACTTGTTAGAGCAGCCATTCATGTTAAATAAGCCTACACTCACAGAAGTTGCTAGAGTATTTTGATAGCTTGTTTTAAAAAGTTGTGGTTAAGTAACAATTATTAAAGTCAATTAATAAGTAGTTAATTAATTTTAATGCTTATAATTTAATTTATTCCAACCGACCTGCTCAATTTTAGAGAAAAAAAATTCGTAAAACAAGTAATTTAGTTTGAACTGCCTAATATACATGCAAATCCATTTGCATGTATGCTAACACAAGTGCATTTCCTCAAGCTGTCCATTCACTGATTATGCACATGAACATGGAAGTTGAAAATAGAGAGTGATTCTGAAGCCAATTTTGTTATCTCTTTATTCTCTTGCTGAATTTATTTGTATACTGCAGAATGTTGATTTATTATGGTGGTCATGTGTTAACCCATTAATAATTATTTCAGTTTTTACCTAAATTTGTTATAAGTTGATGGCAGTGAATAGGATTGTTAATGATTGTGGTTCCCCAAGTGTTGTAAAAAATGTTTGAATTATTGGATATTAATATTTCCACCATTACAAAATGGTTGAAGACTTGAAGATAAAGGTTGTAAACTATTTGGGTTTACTGTACTATTTCTATTGTTAGGTGGGCTTGGTAGTATAGGAGGCCATAGCATGTCTAAAGCTAGTGAACCAGTAAGTGATAGACATGTATGATGTGTGTTAAAAAGACTTGTCTGTTTACAATAGGAGCTACTGAGCAACCTCCGGGCCATTCATGAAACGATACGGTCACTCGATGAACAAATTAAGCTTGTCAGTGAAAAGATAAGCTGTTATCAGGATATAAGAAAAAGTTGTTGGACAAGTTATACCGAAACAAATGTGCCCGAAACAACATCATGGGAGCTTAGTATTGTTTGGGAACTTGATAATGTAATAATACCTTCTTTAAAGAATCATGAATCAATGATGATGAAATTGGAATTGGAAAAGTGTGCTCTACAATCATTATATAAGGGGTTTGTTTTCAGAGTCTTAAGTGATGACAATAATAAAAAGATGTAAGTGAATTTTGTTTTTTAATGTCATCGATATTAGATAGGAAGAATGGAAAACGGTTGATAAATATGATAAATTGCACAATATTACATAGTGTTTTTAAAAATACTCATAATTACAGGTATGTCTAGATTCTAAGCAATCGAGCTGGTCCCAGGGTATCATATTTTACCGATTAAACGCCCAGGGGTTTATTTCTTAGCAGCAAAAAGATTTCATTGAAAAAATAAAAAATATACCTCGAGCGGGACAAAACCCCTAACTCTGAGTAAGTTTGGCGAGGCTATGACTAACAAGCACTTACAAGCTATCTAAACAGTAGGGCATAAATTTTGGTAGAAATATGCTTATTCTATAGAAGCCATACAGATCAAAGGTACTGCACATGGTTTATAGTGGATATTCAATGAATATCATTGTATATCTGCCAGCCCTAGGGCAATATTCATATTGTCCTAGGGCAGCCAGATATACAATGATATTCATTGAATATCCACTATCGATCAACCATGCTTGGTGCCATTGTTCTGTATGGCTTCTGAATAAACCAGTTATGACACCCTACTGTCGGCTTTATCTGATATATACATTCAAACTATATTCATAATTCCCTCCTGCTACGCCCTCTGGAATTAAGAATATAGTTTTCCTGTATATATCAGATAAAGCCTCCAGTAGGGTGTAATAAGAAATACGTATCTATAGCTAGAATATGTTAATAACTGACAGGCGTTTATATGGACCAGGCGTTTATATGGACCAGGCATTTATACGGTAAAATACAGTACTAAAACAAAATTGATAAGAATTAATAGGTTTTCCAAGCAAGCCTTTGCCATTAGCTAAAGTTTTTCTGCAACTTTGAAACTATAATCAAGTATTACATGTATTTAAAACTGTGATGATACTCAATTTAGGCTGCTTCTTGGCATAACAACTTTCTGTTTTGTCCTCATGCAGTCAAGTGTAGATGCCACTATTTTGTAAAAAGTGTATTAGCAACAATATCAGGTGTTTCCAACCCATTCTTCCTGTCTAGTAACAATGCTTGAATTAAGCGTACACAGTAATACACAAAGTATACTTTGTTGCAGCTCCATGTAACTATGTAGTGTACCAGAGAAGCTTGTTGCTCATTTTGCAATAAAACCAAACCGCCACATTATGCCAAATGTACTGATTTCAGGATGGCTGAGTGACACAATGGTATACATGTACTTTAAAATTTGAGCAATTATGGTTGTGTGTAATGGAATTGAATATTACTGGATTGGCTCCATATATTGCAACATATTTGCTGTTCTTTATTGTAGGACATTCTGTTTGGTAGACATCTACAGGCCAGTGTACCGTGAAGTATACCTTAATGCTTCCACTTCTCACTTTCCATCCACAATCCCTTTGGATGTATTACCAGACATACTGAAACCGTGTTCTCAAATAGAACATAAGAATGACCGTAATGTAGCTGGAAAGTATGTTAAAATTTTAGATGGGAAGTACATTTATGTCTTTGATACACCTCTTTGTGGCCGTAGTGCAACATTAGATCACTTTATTGATGTTGTGTATTGCGATGATGA